TGTATCAGTTTTGACAACCGTAAGGATTTCATGTTTCTCTTCTTCTGAAACATAATTATCCCACCAACCTTTGAGTTGTCCAGAAAATCCGGACGTCAGGATTTCAACAATAGCCTCGTCAGCACTATCAAGAGCAATTTGATATGTTGTAGAAACCATTGTCATATGTTGGAGAGTATTGATAATGTTATACTCCGTTAAACCATCTATGTTCCATTCATAGATGTTAGTAGCGCTAAATGACCGAAAACTTTGATCATTTTTTTCCTCTAGTAGGAGATCAGGGGCAGTGGCCCGATTATAATAGAGTTTAGAAGGTTGTCTCCAGTTGAGAGCCTTATTGATAACATGATTAACCTGAAGAACATATTTACTACTAGGCTCAGTATCTTCTGAATCAGAACCTGTAGAGGAAGTTCCTAATTTGTTAATCCTAAGGGATTGATCTTTCTGCGAGGTACTCCTAGTAATCGGTCATGTCTTAACAGATCCAACCTGAGAAGAGCTAGGGGTATCAGGGATAATGATGGAGCTATCTTTAACCTTATTGGAGTCTTCTAAGGTCTTTGTCCAGTTTTGGTGGATGGCTCTAAACTTGTTTCTAGTCTGGCTAGTTAAACTAAAAGGCTTAAATAAGGGTTTGGTAACTGATTGAGCTTCATCATCCTTAGAGGATGAAGCTTTTCCTACAAGGCTTTCTCCTAAAACTTGGAGATACTTGTTGGTATAGTTGTTTTGTTCCATAAGGGCTTTAATATCCTGAGCGCCTATGGTTTCGTCTGATTTGTACTTAAAGGGAGAAGCTAAATATTTGTCCTCTAAGTTTGGGATGAAATAACTACTGTTCGGAGGAAGGTCAGATTTAATTAATTTACCATCTTTACGATGCCAAACAGTAAGTGTATTAACAGAAAGGTCTTCTGTGATTGTAATAGTCCAAGGAGGATTGATCTTGTTTTTGAGAAGGTATCCATTAAGCCATTCAAAGAAACAGACATGGGTCTGAACATTGTTAAGAAAAGTATAGAATAAATCTATGATTTTTGATTTATGATCACCCTTAAAATTGCTAAGAAACCACTTTCTCTGAGGTGTCCAAACGTCAGAGTAGAATTCCTTTTGAAGGGAGGGCTTGTCTATGGTGTAACTATTCATAAGTGACCATACTGCATTTCAGATTGAGTAGGGGAGTGAATTTCGGATGAAGTTTCTTCTTCTGCCCTACTATAGATAGTTCTAGGAATGGGATGAATTGTCTAATCCTTGAAGATTGGTTTATGGAATAATGATCCTAGGAACAGAATTCCTACTAGAATGAGATGCTACAGAAAAAGATCTCCTAGCACTAGTATACTCAGATCTAGTAGCTTCTGATCTTGAAGAGAAAGAATTTCTCCGATCAAAAATGATTTCAACTTTGCCAGCCTCAGATTGCCTGATTTCTTGGAATTCAGGGGCTTTTCTAGGGATGGTTGGTGTTGCCCTGTCAATTTTCCAAGATGTAGGTAATTCTACCTCATCCCATTTTATGAGTTTGGGAACAGCCACGTTGGCTTTTGTCATGTCTGTGACAAACAAGGTGGTTTCCCTATCGGTAGTTTTGAGTAGAACCCTTGAGTTGCAAGTGTTCATGACTTTGTATTGAATCCTATAAAAGAGAGCTGCAGGGATAGAACCTTCTTTCATGTTTAGCCCATGCAGTCTAATGTTTAAAAATAATGAATCTAAGACATTTCTGTCTAAAAGACTCACAGTTTTGTTTGGAAAACAATTGAAATAAACAGGACCATGTCCTAAACTTGTTTCTATGGTTCCTATTAGGGAGTCGTGGAATTCGTTGTGTCGAATATCTCTAAGACACATAAGGATTGAGGCATTAAGACCTTCCCTGATAAGGGGTTTGACAGCTACTTGAACACATCCTATGTGGAGGTATTTGTACTTCCTAGAATGTTCAGTAATGGATTGTTTAGTGAGAAGGTGGAACTCTTTACCAGCTTGGGGGTTGGAGAAGAAATGAAGAGATGGGTGGAACGGGTTGGTCCCTTCTTCAAATCTTGTCTTGAATTGATTGTATCCTTCCTTAATGTCTGGGGGAAGGATATTTTGAATTGGTCCGAAGAATTCCCACCACTCAGCAAACCATTGTGGAAAGAAATATCGAACCTTCTGTTTAAAATAAATAAGCTAGGAATGCCTATGATGTTTGTTTTGAAACCAGAAGACATTCGTCCAGGCATTGATGTAATCCCAGTAATTATACCCAATTGGGTCAAAAGGCTGAGAAAATTTTCTGACTTGATTAGGTTTGTTATCAAAACCTTTAAAGGTTAAGATTTTAAGAATTTGAATTGTCGAATGTGTGATAAGCTGGTTATCATTTTTGTCAAAATTATGTTTAATAGATTAAGGAGGAAGGGTTTGATGGAATGTATAGATTATACAAAATGGATAAGGTGTCAGATTATACAAAATACATCCAGCAATGCTACACTAAGTAGCTAAAAACAACAAAAGAATAAAACTCCATCTGCCAGCTGCAGACCCTCCTCAGCTCACCAACCTAACCCTGTTCTTCTCCTATACATAGTATGATCATTGTAGTCGAAATCACATGGAAACAACAAAGGGTAAGCTAGTGAAAAGAATCATCATACATATATATAAATACATGAATGGTAAACAGCTACAGCTATCAGCACATCAACTAGCTTAACAACATCAGCTTATAATATAACACAACATTCAGCAATAACAGCAGTAAACACACAATGCGTCGTCACGCATATCAGTTAGTATTGGTCGCTTGTAATCGATATAGCTCGACCTGACCCCTATACCATGGTCGCTTTGTACACGTGTGCCACGACCTTGCCCACACATGAGACCACTAAGAACTTAGAGGAGAACAACATAATTACCACTCCAAGGGTCAGCTTTCCAGGGAGGGTTTTCAAAAAATTGGGCTCCAAGAGCACCACAGTCGCTAAATCCACACGATGGGATGAGGAAATTTTGAAAACAACTCCTCTAGTCTTAGTGATCAACAGCTCAGCCTTACGGCCTACAACAACCCCTATCAGCACGGAGCACAGCACTGCATAGCAGCAATAACAACACTGCATAGCAGCAATAATAGCACTGCATAGCAGCAATAACAACACTGCATAGCAGCAATAATAGCACTGCATAGCCGCAATAACAACATACATCTCAAAATTATACAGCCCAACCAAATAGCTCACAACCCAGCTAACACAGCTCACAGCACAGCATAGCACAGCAATATCAGTATCCAGCACAGCTAAACAACTTACAGCACAAAAATTTACATCAACTACATCTTAACACCATAATTCAGCATTATCAACTAGTTAGCATGGCAATATTTAACATCTACAACCCAGCAATTTTCAACAAAATCCAACACATATCAGCCTATAAGTACACAACACATATGCACCTGACACACTCATGGTCGCACTCGACGTGACACAACCAGAGAGAACCAGGGACCAGCGCGCCCGACGCAATTCTTATTGCACCCGGTGTGATAGGAGGCAGAGACCTCAAAAGGTCTCACAAGCCCGACGTGCTCATCCCGCGCTCGGCGCAAGAAAGCAGAGACCTCCCTAGGGTCTCACGCCCGGCGCAATACAAATTGCGCCCGGCACCACCTCTGGCAGAGATTCCCAAGGAGTCTCCACGCCCAGCGAGACGTGGTCAAGCCCGGTGCAACACCAGTAATCCCACAAACATGTCACACACTGATATCGCGCCCAGCGCGGTCCCACCACGCCCGGCGTGGGCCATCTAGAGGCTCACATTTGCAAGCTCGCCCGGCGCACACATCTTTGTGCCCGGCGTGCTTGCCTTAAAGGGAGCCCTCTGGTGGTCACGCGCCCGGCGCCAAGAACTGCGCCCGGCGTGATACTCAGCAGCAACCCACCAAGTACGAAAATTTCTTCAAAAACCTGCATGAACATCCAGAAAATCCACATGCAATCGGCCCAAAATATCACATTTTCATCAAATCACCCAAAAAGCCCAACTTTACCCACATGCAACCATAATCAATGAAAATCCCCAAATATTCACCCAACCCCGAAAGTCTCGAAAACGAGTTTTCTTCAATCTCAACCATAATTATCAAATCATCCAACCATCCATGAGTTACTATACTCATTTTCACACAACCGACATGAATCCTAGCTTCCCTTACCTCGGTACGAAAATCCGAGCTTCCGGGAAGAGAAGGAGACAACGAGGAAGACGAAGCTTCGAGAAAGAGAAAGCTCCACACGACTCAGCTAGCTCTGCCTAAGCTTGATGAACACCTTCAATCCAAGGAAAATGAGAGTGAAAAGGCAAAGTGAGAGATGGAAGGGAAGAAGAGAGTGAATGAGAGTGTTTGAGTGAGTGAGAGTTAAGAAAAGAGAGAAAGAATCTACGGGGTCTCACAAAAAAAGTTTCCTTTTTAAAAACGCTTTATATATTAATTTTATAAAGTTTTAATTAGGTAACAAAATTGCGTCATACATTATAAGAAAAAAAATATTTGTAAGTTTATATAAATATTTCATTAATAACATAAATGGTATATTAATTATTTTTATGAGGTAAAACAGGTAAGATATATTTTCAGGAACAAATCATACTAATTGAATAATTAAAAGTTAATAAAAGCATATAATAAAGTATCCCATAGCTGGCGAATGTGATTAATTTCTTAAATGGTCCAATCAAATTAAAAAAATGTTTGTTTTATCCACACAATAATTAATTAATAAATAGCGTTGAATGAAGCAGGAAAAAAAAAAAATAGGTTCCTTGGCCGCGTTAACAAAAGATGGAAAACACCGAGAAACCGAGGTTGGAAAAATTATAAGGTCTTGAATTGTATATCCCTCATTATCATACACCTAAATATCATAAAGACTCTATCTAGAGGTCATAACCCAGAAAAATCACCTTCATTATTTTTCCATACGTGTGCAGTGCGAGTGAGTTTATAATTTATATAATATAATATATTATATTTGATATTTGATATATTATATACTATATATTATATATGTTGCACCGCACCACTCTTTGTCTCCATAACATTCTCCATGGCCAATAGGAAGAGGCTAAAAAACTTGACCCAAACTCTGAAAGACAAAGCCTCCGTCATCGCCGCAGCGCTATCCACTCACCGCCACGTGTCCTCCATCCGCGTCCACGTCCTCCGCGCCACCACGCACGCCCTCTCCGCCCCTCCCTCCGAGGACTCCATCGCCGCCGTCCTCGCCGTCGGCCACGCCTCCCACCGCCACCCCCGCGCATGCATCGACGCGCTCATGGATCGCCTCCACCGCACGCGCAGCGCCACCGTCGCCCTCAAGTGCCTATACACGCTCCACAACGTCGTCGTGAAGGGATCCTTCGTCCTCAAAGACCAACTCTCCAGTTACCCCTCCTACGGCGGCCCCAATTTTCTCAACCTCTCCACTTTCCGCGACGACTCGGACCTTGAATCGGTGGAACTCAGTTCGTGGGTTCGGTGGTACGCCGCCGTTTTGGAACACTCTTTGACCGTTTCCAGAGTCTTGGGGTATTATTACTTGCAAGAAAATAAAAAGAATGATAATATTAATAATAATAATAATAAGTGTTTGGTTTGGGCGGCGTCGAACGCTGATTTGTTGTACAAGTTGGAAGCGTTGGTGGGTTTTGTTGAGGAAATAAGTCACGTGCCGGAATCGCTGGAGCTTCAGCGGAAGGAGTTGGTGTACGAGGTGGTGAGATTGGTGGGTGAGAATTATAGGTGCGTGCAGGGTGAGATTATCATACGGTTGGAAGAGGTTGGGGGGAGAGTAATGGATGTGGGAGAGTTGAATGAGATGTTGGGGTATTTGGCGAGATTGGAGGAGAGTCACGAGAAGTTGCTGCTTTTGTTTGTGAATAGGACAAAGAACAATGGGTTTTGGGATTTGGTCGAGAACACCAAACTCAAGGCTATACACAAGAAGAAGGAGATCGAAGGGAAGTGGCTCACGGTGGTTACTGGCGGTAACGTGCTCGAGTTCACTCGGTCTACCAACCCGTTTCTTGACCCGGGGCAACTCAGTCCGGTCCCACGGTTAAGTTTCGCAACGGTAAGGTGACAATTGCCAACGGTCACTTTCACTGAGAAATTGTCAAATTACTCAATTTTTTTTATTTGTTTGTTGCTTTTGGAGAACCCGCAGTCTGCGCCTTCCAGTTGGAGGCCTGGTGGTATGCTTTTTCATATTTTTTGGTGGATGTGGGCCTTGTGGGCCTCCATGTCTGCCGTCGTCTGCATGATTAAAGTGGAAAACGGATAATTTCATGTATATCAAAATAATTAGAGATTTGTCGAGTCATGGTTTTTCACCCTTCTTGCGTTCCTCTGTTCTCGCTGTATTAGGCGAGGCTAGTATGAAAGCAAAATTACAACAATGTAAATAAACTTCTTAGGCCAACAATTAGCCTTAGTTCGTCCTCCTGTTGGGTGTTGGCGAGCTTATATCCAATGATTAATGCTTATGAAGGAACCAACCCACAAACTTCTTAACTTGTATGTGACTCTTGACCTTTTCAGATAAAGGATTCAATTAAAAAAAAAACAAAAAAACAAAGGTGGGTATCAAGCTAGAGCTAAAGTTTTAAAAAAAGAATGCCAAAAAGTTGTTGATAAAAATTAAAGATTTACCTGTGGCCAACATGGATGCAATAGAATCAATGTCCAAAACCAGAGCTCTAAAACAAAGTCACGTGGGACCTGAGTGCTAAGGGTTAGATTCACTGGAGAAAACGAGTATGCCACATAAGAATTCGTAGATGGGCATCAATAACACTAACCTCAATAATGAACAACATTGACAAAGTAGTAGACAATTCCTCTGACTATATATATGTTCATTTCATTCATGTAAACAAATTTTGGTTACAACCAAATTGCCATGCATGTCAAGGGTGAAGTTAAAATTTCCTTCATGACAAACAAACGTATGTAACTTTACAAGATGGTGTGTTTCGGTTTAAAGAATGTTAGGCTGACGTATACAAATGGGGGATGACAAAAATCTTTTTCAACATGATTTGGGATATTGTTGAAGTGTATATCGGTTTGGTCTAATTCAACTATACAAATTAATATTTGGGTTTGCAGAATTTAAATTTTAAAACCATGTCTTTTTTGGCTGTCCATTTTAAAACCATATTAATCTATTTATTTTGAAAAAAATTAAATACTAGATATCAAATTTTTATAGCTCCAAAATTTAAAAATAACAGTTTTCTTAATTATTCCAAAATTTAATTTCTAAAAGGTTGAATTCAACCACGCATAGAAGAATACTGTTGGAATAAAAATACGTGGAATTCAACCGTCTATACAAAAATATTGTTGAAATAAAAATCAATAAAAACAATAAGCGAGGTGAGTGTACTTAGAAAAACAAAGGGATGCAAAGAGAAATCCCCCAACTCATTTATTATATATATTTTTTCTTCTAGAGAAAGAACTCCCCCAACTCTAAATTGCCATGAAACAAACTTGAAACAAAATTAACATTATTGGCCCAAAATATTAAGTGTAAGCTACAGGCCTTTATGTTAAAGACCAATAATCTTCACCTGAAGCTCTCAATTTCGCAGGCCCCAAGTTGCGATGAATCCGAACAAAATTAAAATGATGTGTGTCAGTTGATTTTTTTTTCTTCATTAGTTACTACTTCTAAATCTATATATAAATAAAAAATACACAGTTATTTATTAAAAAATAATATTTTAAAAAATAAATTTTATTTAATATTTTTAATTCAAAAATATTTTTAAATAATACATAAAATATTATCTATACTAATATATAAAAATGATACCATTTTTGGTAACCACCTTGATCTCTATTTTTCTTTTACCATTATACCCTTTTATTCTAAAAAAATTAGAAAAAAATATTTTTTTAATCAAATTTAAGAACTTGAAACTAATGAATATATACTAACACTAATATATAAAGAGGATATCACTTTCAATAACTACTTTGAGTTTTCATTTTTACATAGACCATTTTTATTTTTTATTTATTTTTTAATAACTATATTTTTTTATGAGTAACTTCTCATTTTTTTTTATTTTTTTTTTCTTTTAATACAATACAGGCACTCCTGCTAGACAAATATTAGAAGTTAATATAAGAATTTTTTTTTACATTCAAGGGTATAAATGTCCACTAATAAGTGGAGATCAAAAGGGTGGTTACTATCCCCTTTATAATAGGTATAAATAAAACATATTCCCTTTATAATAGATTAGTGAGACCAAAGCACTTCTTACCTATATACGTATTTTACCTTATAATTTAAAATAACTTATCTATAAAATGAATTCATTTGTTGACATATATTGGTATACTAGTGGGGGCATAAATTATAATTTTTATAATTTATTACAAATGAATTCATTTTATATGGTCCATGTAAAAATGAAAACTCAAAGTAGTTATTGAAAGTGATATCCTCTTTATATATTAGTGTTAGTATATATTCATTAGTTTCAAGTTCTTAAAAAAAATACGATTTATATGTCAACAAATGAATTCATTTTATATGATCCATAATTTATAATTTTTATTTTTATTTTATAAAAAAAAACTTCTTATATCAACTTCTAATATTTGTCTAGCAGGAAAAAGGCACTTCGTGCCTGTATTGTATTAAAAGAAAAAAAAAAAAAAAAAAAAGTTTTCCAAAAAAAAAAAAATTATTAAAAAAAAAAAAAAAAAAAAAAATGGTCCATGTAAAAATGAAAACTCAAAGTAGTTATTGAAAGTAGTATCATCTTTATATATTAGTGTTAATATATATTCATTAGTTTCAAGTTCTTAAAAAAAAATACGATTTATATGTCAACAACTGAATTCTAAAAATACGATCCATAATTTATAATTTTTATTTTTATTTTATTTTTAAATGTGATAAAAGATATTTTAATAAATATAATATATTTTATATAAAATTGTAAAAATTAAATACATTTTTTACTCAAATAATATATTTTTAAAATAAATTTACCTAAATAGCAACTGTGCAAATTTATTTTCCCAACTAGCACCATGTACTGTTTACATAATTTTTTATTTTTTTTTTCATTTTAGGTCTAGGTAAACTGGGAATTTTGCAACTGGAATGACCCGTTTTGCAACCAGAACGGTCCGTTCTGCATGCATCCTCGTCGTGTTTTTTTTTTACAACTAGAACGGCCCGTTCTTAAACTAGAACAGACCGTTCTAGAGTTGGGTTTTTTCACATAACCTCAATGTTGGAACGACCCGTTCTAAACTAGGGATTTTATTCCTCTTTAGTAGTTTGGAACGGACCGTTCTGCTTTTGGAACGACCCGTTCTACCCAATTCTATGCACTATACCTTTTTTTTTATCAATGTAATATGAATTTTAATGTTTAGCTTATAAACTATTATAATTATACATTATTTTGACATGTTTTCGTAGTGTGATGTGTAGGTTATCCAGATTTTTGCATTATTAGCCACAGTTTGACTCATGCAAGTTTCGAATCTATTAAGACAAGGTCCCATTATTATCATCTCGTGTTTTTAAGTTTAAGACACTATAGTTTCATACTTTGATGGTGTTTCCTTTAAATCTAGCTTGAAACTTAACATTGCAATGAGCACAATTTACCCTTTCAAGACAAATACAATGAAGTGTCAAAGAGTAACATCAAGTAATTAAATTTATTGAATATTAACATTATAAATATAACTAAATAAATTTATTAAAACTCATTATAATAATAAAATAAATGGTGACGGGAATTAAATTCATGACCAATATTTGGACATGTCTTCCTAGTGTGACCAGAGGCGTGACAATAGAAACAAATTTTTACACGATTATGTTGTTCTCTAATATCTATCTCTGTTCTAATCTTGTTGGACTTTGGCCGACCCTTGAAAGTCCTCTTGAGTTCTGGATTTGGCCACATAGTTGGACCAGTGTAAGTAGGCCAATAATCTTCATGTCGGAGCTCTCCAAACTGTCCTTCGTATACCTTTGCAACTTGTTGTAAGGTATATATGGGAGATATGTAGGTTTGATAGTTGTGACGTGCATGTAAGCATAAAGCGAGTACATGCGAGCAAGGGATATGAACTTTCTGGAACTTGCCACAATCACATCACATTTCATCTAGCCTTACTGTAAATCTCCCAGCGAGTTGAACTTCTCTCGGATGTTGCGTTTCTTCCACTAGAAATCTAGTGCTTGATCTATCAAAGGTGATAACTCTATTAGTATTTGCCTTGGACTGTGCATCTTGAATAGTTTTACTTGCAATTTCCGAGTAGACATGTCCAGCATTAATCATTGCATCCCCTGCCTCTTTGAATGAAAAACTTGTTGCAACGAGTGTATGTGGCTATTACCATGGAACAAATTGGCAGATTTTGTGTTTTCTTCAATACAAAATTAATAGACTCAACTAGGTTTGTTGTCATGTGTCCCCAACGTCGTCCATTGTCCCATGCTAGTGTTCATTTTTCCCTAGGAATGTTGTCTAACCATTGGGCTGCTTCAGCATTAGTATCTCTTACTATGTTGTAATAGTAAAAGAATCTAGGTTCAGTCATCCCATAGGCTGAAAAAAAATAATAATTAAATAATAAAAACTAATTATTAAATGTTTAAAAAAAAGTAATGATAAAATTACTCATGTTGACGACATCCTTCTTCAGTGCTGCATTTTTGAATCGTCGCAATGAAGTTTTGTGCAATGTGTCGAATACAATAGACATGGACAAAATTATTTTCTGTCCAACCACTTCCATTTCTTGAGTATGCACTTTGAATAGCCTCATAAGGATCAAAAATTAGGCACAACCCGTCTTGCGGTGTTACAAACCGCCTTAAGTTCTTAAGAAAAAAAAACCACTACAAGGAAAATGATAAATTGCGACGGATAAATTGCGATGGTTATCTAAAAACCGTCGTCGCTTTGATATTGCGACTCTTCATACGATAATTTTTCAAAACTGTCGCAAAATTGTTCAACATTGCGACGATTTATCGTAAACCGTCGCAAAAATTGTTTAACATTGCGACAGTTAATCATAAACCGTCGCAAATTTTTTTTAACATTGCGACTGTTAGTCATAAACCGTCGCAAACTTTTCAGCATTGCAACGGTTTAATGTAAACCGTCGCAATCCGTTTGGATTGAGAATTAAACTTAGTCTCTATGTTTGAAACAAACTAGCATAAAAGACTTGTGCTTCTTCATTTGTTGCATTTCAGCACTGCATCTGTCAAGCTTTTACTACTTCACTATTTCAAAAGTGTGATTTTTTTATATGCACTATTCAACCCCTTCTAGTATGTATCTTTTCTCCGACAATTGGTATCAGAGCTTGACCTTTGATGAGGTTGGGCATCTAACAGTGCTAAAGAAAAAATATCCAAAATGAGAAGTAGTGAAGGATAGTACTTGCTAGAAGGAGCTTCTCTTACAAGGCCTCCAACCTTCAATGGAGAAGACTATCCCTATTAGAAG